TATATATATATATATATGTATATATATATATATACGTACGTGTATCCATACATTAGTATATGCATATGCATATGGATATGAATGCACATTATATATATATATATGTATACAGAGAAAGAGAGAGAGGGTCATATATATATATATATATGCAGATAGAGAAAAGGAGAGATTAAGGAGACACCTGGAAGACAGCAGGGCTGTTGCTGTGCAGCCACCACGGCTGCAACCAACAGAAGAGCAAACAGGAGACAGTTGTTTGTGCGTTAGGGAGGAGAGAGGAGACAGTTTAGTTTGTCTTTGTCTCTGTCTCTGTCTCTCTGTGTCTCCTCAGCTTTCTCGCCCAGCAGCAGCAGACCCTCAATGGATATATCTTTTTGCTGCTGACTTCACAAGACGTTTTGTTAGTCTCTTGGGGGGCCCCTTCCGCCACCTTCCGGTGTCTCTGGCCCTTGCAATTGCTTCAGGGGGCCCCCAGGAGCCTCAGGGGGGCCCTGATGGCTTCCTGCCTCCGTTAGATGCGCAGAAGGTGAGGAGAGGGTTTTGCTGCTGCTGCTGCTGTTGCTGCTACTGTTGCAGCTGCTGTTGCTGCTGGTGCTGCTAGTGTGGGGTTCTTGCATTTTTGTGTTTATAGGGTGGGGTTGTTGTTTGTACGGGTATATATGTTCATAGGTCTTCGTTTTGTTTTTATAGGGTAGGTTTGTTGTGTAAGTGTGTTTATTTGGTGGGGTTGCTGTCTATTTATACCTGGATGTTCATGGCTGTTGGTGTATAAGTGTGTTTATTTGGTGGGGTTGTTGTCTATTTATCTCTAGATGCTTACAAGTTTTGTATAACTGTGTTTATTTGGTGGGGTTGCTGTCCATATATGTGTCTAAATGTTCATGGTTGTTGGTTTATAAGTGTGTTTATTTGGTGGGGTTGTTGTGTATTTTTGTGTAAATGTTTGCAGGTGTTGTTTTTGTTTACACTGCACGACTTAGGGCGTCTGGGTCAATACGCACAGCAGTTAGCAGATCTTCCTTTGGTGATGGATTTAATACCTTTGTTGTGCTGTCTCTACTTTGAAAAGAGACTAAGACCTCTGAGGCTCTCCTTCTTGCAAGCAGCAACTCTCCTCGGCTTGGGGGGACAGAGGAGACAGCGTACGCATGCAACAACAACAGCAGCAGCAGCAGCAGCAGAACGAAGCTCGTCCCTGTCTCCCTAGACACCCCAGACGGGGCTGCGTCTTCATGCATGCATGCATATCGTCATGCATGCATGCGTATCTTTTGCATGCATGCATTCGTGTTGTGACTAGAAGATATATGTATTGAGACGCGCACAGCGAAGGAGTTGCAGATGGACGCCAAACCCTAAACCCTAAACCCTAAACCCTAGGTGGTGTATGTGTGTATGTACAGCTGACGAACTCGCGGAGGAGTTTCGAGTTCCTGTCCATCAAATTTTGGCTTTGTTCAACAAGGCGGTTGTGAAGCTGCACCAGCACCTTCATGTGAGACTAGGGTTTAGGGTTTAGGGTTTACGGTTTAGGGTCTGGGGTTTGGGGTTTAGGGTCTAGGGTTTAGGCGATGAGGCTTCCTCCCTGTGACTCTATCCCCTGCTGTCTCCTTTTGTCTCTGTCTCCTGTTATTCCTTCTGGGTGTCTGTATACCACCTGCATGCGTCTGCATGCATGCATATCCATCTGCTTGCACGCATCTTTATGCATGCATCTGCATGCATGCATCTGCATGCATGGTGTTTGTTTTTTTTAGGGTTTATTAGAAGCTGAAGAGGCAGCGAAGTTTGATAGGGCCTCTACTCGGCGAGTGGCAATAAAGCAAGGAGAGGCTGTGGGGCCTGAGGGGCCCCAGGGGCCCCTAAGTGAGGCACAGCAGGCAGCAGCAGCAGCAGCGCTGCAGCAGCAGAAGCTGCAGCTAAAGAAGCTTCAAGAGGCCCTGGGGCCAGACGCTATAGAGGTGAGAGGGGAGGAGACAAAGGAAGAAAAGGAGACAGTTTTGCTGTCTCCTTTACTCCAAAAGGAGACAGTCTCTTTGCTTCTTAGCCTCCGCTTAATGCACATTCTTGAGAGAAAGCAAGATAAACAATATACATTTAGGGTTTAAACAAAAGGAGACAGGTATTAGAGAGGCAGCAACAGAAGAGGCAAGATCTGCGTATACACCTGGGGCCCAAATAAAGGAGACAAATGCAATAAACAACATAAAACAAATTATTAAAAGGTTGTTTATATTTTGTCTTGTGCTGCAGAAGTACAGAGTCAATCACTATACGGAGGAGGAGATAGCAGGGGCAACGAAGGGGCGTGCGGTGTCTGGTGAGGTCTCTGTTAATCTGTCTCCTTTCATTTTCTCTGTCTCCTTTTATGTAACTGTCTCCTCTGCATTTGCTCTCTAGCTACATGCAGTGTCTCCGCATACTCTCTTTGGGGCTTCCTTCGTGTTTTCTTTGCTGTGCATGCATATTATAACAATTTCTTGCTTGTTCTTTTTTCTTCGTTCATACTGAGGTGGCTGTCTCCCTTCTTCTGTCTCTTCTTCCTTGCCCTTGTATAACGCACCCTCAACAGCAGGAGACAGAGAAACAAGCAGAGACAGAAGGAGACAGAGAGACAATAGCAGAGACACAAGGAAGTAGAGAGAGACAAGCAGAGACAGAAGGAGAAAGAGAAACACAAACAAAAGCAGAGACAGAGAGAGATAAGCAGAGGCAGGAGACAGAGAGACGTCAGTAGAGACACAAGGAGACAGAGAGAGATACAAACAGAGACACAAGGAGACAAAGACAGATAGGCATAGGCAGCAGAGCTACAGCGCAAGAGCGAGACCCAAGCACAAACAGAGGGAGACTTCATGCAAGTGTCTCCTTGTCTCCTTGTCTCTTCTTTTAGGGTCTCTCTCCATCCGCAAGAAGACAAAGACCCCTAACGGACCCTCAACAGAGACAGAAGGAGACACTTCTCACAAAGCCCAGCGCAGTAAAAAGTTCAAAAATTTGTCATTCTAAGACTCCCCAACAAGGCAGCGGGGACTGTGGGGCTGTGTGCATGCATGCACGCATGCATGCATGCATGCGTTTCATGCATGCATTAGGTGCACACATTTTTGCATGCATGCGTTTCATGCATGCATTATATGCATGCATTATGCGCATGCATGCATAACATGCATAAATGCATGTATTTCATACATTCATGTTTAGGATGCATGCCTGCGTGTACTGCATGCATGCATGCGTGTATTGCATGCATGCATGCATGTTAATGCATGCGGGCTGTTGCCATCCAGCGTGCATGCATCTGTGCATGCATTCAAGGGTCTCTTTGCTCTGTGTGCATTTGTTTGTTTGTCTAAAGACAATTTTATAAGGCTAACAAAACAGATAGACAAACGGTATACTGGCAGAGACGCTGAGTGTATAGGCATAAACAGAAAAAATAAAAAGATAAGAGGGGTTCATTGCATGTTTGCCTATGTAGATAAAACAATTTAGGTGTATGCATACACCCTGTGCATGCACACATCGGTATCGCCTTAGTGATGGGCTTATTTTCTAGGTAGATATACCTGTATATATATATATATATATGCATATTGTATATATATATATATATATATATAATATCCATGAAGGCATTTATGTACATATTCGCTTGTTGCTCTACTCTTATATCTACGTATTTAGGATAAACACTTCTTTCTTATTACAGTTTGTTTTTATAAGATTTATTTACCTCCACCTCAGTGCCCTTCATACATACCTGTACAAATACACTTAAAAATGAGGCGTTGATTAGATGGTTGTAGTGTGCGCACACCACGCATAAACCTCTATTTATAGTAATATAGAAATATAGAGACATATAATATATATAATATGTATATATATATGTATATATATATTATATATATGTATATATATATAGTGTGTATATATATACATATATATATATATATATCGATTACTGAAGATATTTTGCTTTATATATATTTATTGGAGG